GTATACAGCTCATTCATTGCCCCATCCAACTGCTTCGCCACTTCAGCCTGAACCAACTCCTGCGGAATCCCAGCCGATCCAGAAGAAGGCGGTGTAGGGGGCGGAAAAATTGTTGCTCCCTCAGCGGAGCCATCACCTTGGCCATACCCAGTGGTACGTGGCCTCAGCCAAGGATTCTCATGCATCGGACTCCAAGCCGTATGCACCTCCACTCGACGCTGTTGGAAAAATTCGCCCAATCTGGAAAACCACATCGCTGCACGACTCGTACGAGCTGCCTCGGCGGTCCTCTGAAGGGCATTCGCTGCTGATGCCGGAGACTGAAGAGGTGAGGGTTGCAACCATGCTCTATCTGTAAGCCCAGATCCCATTGTCCGTGGCGGTTCCATATCCGTTGCCCCCATTGTAGCAGACCTAGGCCCCAAGCCCATTCCACCAGACTGTAAAACCTCTCCAGCTCCACTGCTCACATGCGATGACATTCCCACTGCTTCAACCCCAGATGGTGCATTCGCAGGCGCTGATCCATGTGCACCATTCATGAAAACTGCATCATTTCCAGGGGCAACACCAGGCCCATCAGCCACCGAAGTTGCACATGGGGCACGACCAGGCCCTGAATTCTCAGGCACTGATTGCACTCCAGTCTCAGGCGCTGATCTGTGACCATTCAAGGTTGCTGCAGCTGTACCCAACTGTTGCCCATCCTGTCTTCCATAATCAGGACCATGATCTTCACCAGAGAGCCTTGGGCCGCTTGGGCTCATAACCTGCTGACGAGCAGCAGGTGAGCCAGCAGATTCAGCAACCATGGGGAATGCCATCGCTCGAATTTTTGTCTGCTTCGGGCACGAGAGATCTGAACAAATGCTCTCCGAATGTCCTATTTCGCATGGCCTGCTGTGCTGCCATGCTTTGGTTTTGATTTGCATGGCTACTGTGCTGCCATGCTATGTCTGCTTCGCTTGGCTGCTGTGCTGCCATGCGTCCTTCGAGCCCTTCACGCTCGCCTGAATTCAAGGTTGACAAGAGAAGGACTCTTCATCATTAGGGTTTAGGGTTTAGGATTTAGGGTTTGGGGTTTAGGGTTTATAAGGTTTAGGGTTTAGGGCTTACAGGGTTTAAGGCTTTAGAGCTCAGGGTTAGTAGGGTTTAGGCCCTACAGAATGAAGGCACACTGTACAAGCCGGAGGGATTGTACCTCTTCCTAATTTCAGGTATAGTGCCTGACTGCGGTTGTGAGTCTCGGTTGTCAGGCGCTACTGATCTGTTGAAGAATACCGGATTAAAGTTTAGGGTTTAAAGTTTAGAGTGTATAGGCTTTAGCGTACAGGGTTTAGCTGCTGGACGCTCTTAGATTTGATAATGGGTCTGAGCTGATTTTGGGTTCATGTTTGTGTGGTGTTTTTGATCAGCGCTGTTGTGTCTTTTAGGGTTTATGGTTTTGTTCTTGAGCTTCTGGGCGTTCAAGGCGCGAACTTCATGAAGTAGAGAGCCCTAAGCCCTATAAACCCTAAACCCTTAAAAAAAAACCTTCAGGACCCATTGGGTAGTTTCCAGGATCTCAATACAGACCATCTTTCAGGGTTCAGGGTTTAGGGTTTAGGGTTTAGGGTTTAGGATCACTTATTCTCTGAAGCCGCACTCTCCGCCCCTGGGCTCATTCCAAGTTCAGTCTCGAAGTCCCCCGCTGGGCAGTATTGGGGGTACACTTGGGGTATATTGAAATTATTGGGGGTGAAGAGGGAGTACACAGAAAGGGTTCATGGAGTCTGTCTACGCCCCAAACTCTAGCTAAACCCTAAACCCTGAACCCGCAACCCAGGTTTTGGAAGCGGAGCCATGTCCGCTTTCGTCTTTTCTGCCATTGCGATTGTCGCCTTCAGCGCTCACTGGCATCTCCTAGGGGGCCGCATCTGGCGTGCCCTACTTGGGGCATACCGGAGCCTCTCCAAGACGCAGGCGGAAGACCGCAAGGCAGGTGCAGATGACCGGCTATGCGATCGGCTCACGAAAATCAGAGCCTTTAACTGGAAAATCGCATCCTTCTTCGCCGTGCATACCGCTCTGGCTTTCTTCGTGGTGTTGATGTGGCGCTTTTGTGAAGAGCCCACTGTTGCAAACTTCGCTGCAAGCTTGTTGCTAGTTATCCAGTATATCCCGCCTTTCGGTGTGGTGCGTGGCATGCGGCAAACGAGCTGGACAATCACCTGCACCAGCGCTCTCATGTCACTACACCCCCCTTGGGAATCATTTTTCTTATTTTTGTTTATATAAAACCCAAGAGGAGATTGACAATAGTATGTTTAGGGTTTAGGGTTGAGGGTTGAGGGTTTAGGAGGTTCTAAGGGGGAGTCTAGGTCAGTCATCATGCACATCTACGCTGTGATCGTCGGCCTGATGATCTCAACCTCGCCTGCGGAGCATGCAACTAGGACCGGGAATACCTTATTTCCATTTTTTAGGGTTGGGGTTCCCTTATAATCCCCTTAAAGCCAAAAAAGGTAGCTTTTTTGTTCCTAGGATACTCCCGGGTCGAGGTGATGAGCTTCAGTTTGCTCTCAACGGGCCACATGCTGTGTGGATTGATGTTCCTGAATGCTCGGATGTGGATTCCGTCAACCATGCTGTTGTGCGTGTCTCACCTTGCCATGTACATGAATGAGTTTGGAAACACAGAGACCAGTATGCTGCTATGCATCACCTACTTCACGCAGTCTGTCGTATGCTGTGTTATCCTCACCGTTGCGGAATCTGGGGTGCGCGCTCATCTAAGATCAGAAATGGACAAGGAAGATGATAGAACCATGATGGCCGGCTTTCAAAGAATCTTGAAGGGACTTTGCGACGGAAGCCTGATTCTGGACTCTAAGATGTTAGTGCGTGGCTCTCCCTCCAGCTTGCAGCGTCTACTGTCGACTCAGAAGAAGTTCGAGGACGTCAACTTCATGTCGCTGATTCCCTGCGCTGAGAGTAAGGAGAAGTTTGCCACACTGCTGAGCACGCCCGCCAGTTCACAAGCCGACGATGCAGGCACATCCCCACCTGAATGTTTGCGTGTCGTCTTATCTGAAGGCGGTCAGGAGGTTCCGGTGGACATCTTTCACGCCACTCTCCCGGGCCTATTCGGTGCTGATGAACCACATCACATTCTAGCCCTGGTGGAGGACACTGCGGGCCGGGAGGCCCCACTGGCCACACATGGCTTCCCAGACTGGCGGAACAGCCATGCGAGAAGATCGCCCAACCGCTGGCCACTTTCTTTGCCCAGCCTGAGCTCGGTTTCGTCTCGGGGCTCCGAGGCTGCTTCGACAGCGGGCGCGCGAAGCAATGAAGTGCTTGAGGTTGTCCAGGAGTTGGCGGAAGCCACGTTTCTGGTCGACCCAGGATCCCCAAACGTGGATCTGGTAGAAGCTCACCTGAAGTTTAACAGGGGACACCACACGCAGCAGCCGCCTTCTTTGAGGATGCTGAGCAACATCAGCCAGTGGGATGATCTCCAGGACACGCTGAGGTCCTATGCCTTGGGTCTGCTCAGGGGGGTGCCCGACTTGCCAGTTGCTTTGCACGCCATGCAGGTACGCATTCCGGGAGCGCCCCGAAAGATGCTGAAGGCCAAGCATGTACGCCTGAGCCTTGCCAACCGCAGCCGGGAGCCAAATCAGCCAATTTTCCTGTACCTTCACATGAAAAACTTCATCAACAAGGATGCAAGGCCAAGTTATGTTACGGGCCTCCAGAGTGATGCGCTTGAGGAGGAGGATGATGCTTCCTTGGAGGATGGGCGGGAGGCCAGTGCAGAGCATCGGCCTTCCGAGTTCCTGGTGCCTCCACCGAGTCTGGCAGAAGATGCGCAGATTCAAGGTCGCGTTTATCATCTCTAAGGCGGAGAATGCAAGAAAGAACTCAGACCGGCCTTGTCTAAGCAGGCAGTTGTAGCACATCGCTTTTCACGGGCATGACGGGGGGGGCGGGGGGGAAGGGGGGAAGGGGTAGGGGGAACCGAGGCTGATTTGACAACATGTTTTTTAGGCCTGCATGCATTTTTGCCAGTAGCGACCCTGTGACATAACGTCCAATCTGGCTTTGAGGAGCTTGCCACTTAGTGCGGCCATTTCAGGGCATCGGGACTTCGACTTTCGGTGCGTTGGGGATGAGTCCGAGAAAATCAGAGACCCTGAGCCCTGGAGGCCATTGGTTTAGGGTCAAAAGGGTTTTGTAGGGTTCGCAGGGTAGGTTTCCCAAGACTTTAGAACTGAACCCCCAATCGCTCGTTTGAGCCTTCTAGGGAAGGTCCTAAGGGTCCTAGCCAGAACCGATCCCATCACGGCGTAAGAGCTCAAGCTTTCGGGGCCGTTTGAGCTGCACGCGGAAAGGATTCTGGATACTTGTTAATAAAGGAAGTAAGCCCTACACCCTTGGCCACCCATAACCCCTGAAGTGTAGGTCTCGCTCCGTGAGCCTAAACCCTGTAGGGGGCTCTTGGACTGACGAGGATGATATAGTACTTTGGGTAAAACGAGGGGTCGCCCTATGTTGAGAATGATCCATGCGAGTTCTCTGGAGGGATCTGCATCCCTAAGCCGTAAACTCTGAACGGTAAATCTGCCACCCGGCCTCGACTGCGGTTTAGGGTTTGGGGTTTAAGGTTTAGGGTTTAGGGCTTAGGCTTAGGGCTTGTGCAACTCCAGAGGTCCTCCGAAACCCTATGCTCGATACGCTTAACCGCATATCCCAAGCTCCTCTCTGGCAACTTCTTCAAACTCGTGGCGGCCTTTATTTGGGCGCTGTACCCTAAAAACAAGGAACCTTCAACCCTAAACCCTACGGCTAACACCCCCCCCCCCCTCCGGGGCCCTGTTGGGACATGGGCTGCGGATCTTTTGTAGGAGAGTTGCTATTTGATGGTTTAAGGGTTTAGGTTTAGGGAACCCTAAACCGGTTTAGGGTTTAGGGTTTAGGGTTTTTTAGGGTTTAGGGTTCCCCCTTGACATCCGGAGGTAGCTTCCGCCTCGAACGCCTGAGTGGCCGGCGCACCACGCTGGTGAACCTCGGGGGCCATTTCAGAGATGCGTTTAGGGTTTCGGGTTCAGGGTTTAGGGTTTAGGGTTTAGGGTAAAGCCCTAAAAACCTTAATAGCCCAATAACCAGACACATGGAGGTTGCTCTTAGCTGGGCCCCCGCGTCCAGTCCCGCCGCCCCCATTCCTCCCGCCCCCAGTTCCCCCCCGCCCCCCGCTGGCCTTTTTTCTCATGGCATTCTTTCTCAGCCTACCCTGAACCCGAAACCCTTGAGGCTTTTGGGTCTTCGAGTCCAGGTCCAGGTTTGTGGTGATAAGGGTTTGGGGTTTAGGGCTTTTTGGTTTAGGGACAGGTGGGTTTGGGGGGTAAGCCCAAGTTTTATGTTTTTACGTTTTTGGGGGGGGTGGGGGAGGGGGGGGGAGGGGGGGGGGGGGGGGGAGGGGGGGGGTGGAGGGGGGGGAGGGGGGAAGGGGGGGTGGGGGGGGAGGGGGAGGGGGGGGGGGGGGAGGGGGGGGAGGGGGGGGGCGGGGAGGGGGGGGAGGGGGGGGAGGGGGGGGGGAGGGGGGGAGGGGGGGAGGGAGGGGGGGAGGGGAGGGGGGGAGGGGAGGGGTGGACAATTGGACGGTCGCTGAGTGCCAAGAAAGGCGTCCTTTGGTTAAGACTGATGTCCATGTACTTGATATTTCGGGCTGATGACTAAACTGTGAAGGTCAATAGTTGACAGCAGGGTTGGGTGTTCGGTTGGGGTTTTTGTATTTCGATTCAAAGAGACGCGAACGAGATCTTGCAGTTCATATGCACACGTGTACGAGACGGCAAGAAGGGTTCAGTCTATACTTGCTGCTCTACGACTGCGACGTAACGAATGGCAATTCGTATGCGAACTTTATGTTCGTTTTGCTGCATGAAAGGATGGTGCTTCAAATTTAAGAGGTAAAAGCGTGGAGGCCACGCAGAACAGAATTCAGACACCCTGCTTTCGTGACCCTAAGCCGCACCTTGGCATAAGCCTCAAACCCTGAAACTACAGTAATACACACCCCATACGCCACAAGAGCACGCAGTACGAGGGACTCGGTAGCCAAGGAACTTGGACGACATCCCCGAGCAGGCGCCTCAGGACTGTGATTTCACGGTTTAGGGTTTAGGGTTTAGGGTTTAGGGTTTCGGGTTTAGGGTTTAGGGTTTAGGGTTTAGGGTTTAGGGTTAGAAGCAGTAGTTTGCCACACACCCATGCACCTTCTCCCCCCTCCCCCCCGACATCCCCATTAGGGACTGCTAGTATTCGGGGGAACATCCCAACTCTCGTGCGTAATGCGGATCCAGACCTTGGGCCCCACCGAAGAAAGCCTCGTGGCATCCTGGCTGGCTTCCCAATGTGTGGGCTGTTCAGTCACAGGGCTAGGCACCACTGCTTCAAAACAACTTCCGACACCTCCTAAACCCTAAACCCTAAAACCCGAAGCCCTGAACTCAATCCTGAAGTCGACAGATACCCTGCGAGAGCCTTCTGGAAGTTTCAATGCCGCCAGTGCTGGGCTTCTGTGAGCCTAACATGGCATATACTGGGTTGCTCAGAGGAACCCCTTGAAAGCCTCTGGGCCTGGGAGGCACTGAGACCTAAGAGGGTGCGCAAACAAGTTCTTGGCTCTCACATGCCATGGGAGGCGGGTGGCATGCCACTAGCGGACAGCCGTGCGAGTTACAACTATTCTGTGGGAGCTTCGAACAACTCTTGCACAGCAGTCACGAGCCCTCGGCCTCAGCTAGACTATTCACTTTATTATGGGGGTTTCCGAAAAGAGGGGTACCTTTTTTTTTTTTTTTTTTTTTGGGGGGGGGGGGGGTCCTTTAAAGGATTAAATCGTATCTTGGGGTATATAATGGGTACCCCTATGTTTCAAAAGTCCCTGTATGATACTCACCCTTCTTCGCCTGAAACCCTAAACCCTAAACCCCAAACCCTAAACCCTAAACCCTAAACCCCAAACCCTAAACCCTAAACCCCAAACCCCAAACCCTAAACCCTATTCCCTGACTAAGGGCGTTAGCGCATCGGCAAGCTGGCGATGAGAGCGACGTGTCCTCCCCATCTGCGAGAGGCCTTGGCCTCGGGTTGCAAAGGACGTTTGGGGTATAGGGGTTAGGGTTTAGGGTTTAGGGTTTAGGGTTTAGGGATATACTCGGTCGGTCTTTGGGACATTGTACATTTCCCCTTATTTGGCTTAATTAGGAAGAATCAAACGACCCTGGGCTGAAGCCTCACAACCCGCACCCTGAAGCTTAAGTCCTAGACCCAAACATCATCGACGCATGGCTAGTTCGCAACAAGGCACTATCGTTTCTTCCTGCACCCATGTTGCTGGTCTGTAGGAAGTATCAAGCAACCCCACCACCCGGTAAAGCCTAAACCTCAAGCTCGCAGCATGTCGCAGCCCTCCTTCTATCCTCCCCCGAAGCCTTACAACACGACACGCCACACACAAGAATTCAGGTATTTGAGGTTGCTGTTAAGCCCAACTCGAACCTACACCCTAAACCCTAAACACTAAACCGTAAACCCCAAACCCTAAACCCTAAACCCTCAACCCTAAATCCCAAAGCCTGCTCAGGTGACGACGCCTCGCCCGAGGATGTGCAAGTGCCGGAAGTGTCCTTTGTGCATCTCTGCGTCGAGGCTTGGTCCAGTTTTCCCAAAGTGAACCTAAACCCTAAACCCTAAACCCTAAACCCGGAACCCTAAACCCTAAACCCTAAACCCTAAACCCTAAACCCTAAACCCTAAACCCTAAACCCTAAACCCAAAGCCCCCCGGTTCAGGATGGGGTTGACTTCCGGGCCTGTGGTAGCGTCAGTCTCTGCTTCGAAAGCTTGAGGTAGGCAGTCAAAACTGCCACATCACGGACTAAACCCTAAACCCTAAACCCCAAACCCTAAACCCCAAACCCTAAACCCTAAACCCTAGACCCCCTATCACGAGAAAAGAGCGCGCTGAATAAGAGACTCAGATGCTTCTTGCTACAAGAGGCAGGGGCGCCAGCAGTATCCCATGAGTGCGAGCCTGGATCAGATGGGTCCCGACCGCCAAGGGACAACTAAGTCACCCAGAGCTTTCCTGAACCCTGCACACCAAAGCGATCTGCCAGCTTCTACCCAAACGAGAACGCATGACCCTAAAACCCTACAGACCCTCTTCCCTACCTAAATGCTGGTTAGGGGCCCTTCTTCAACCCTGCCAAACCCCTCCCCCCCAATCCCCCCCAATGCTACCCCCTCCCCCTGTCACCCGGCACCCGACACCCTCAAACCCTAAACCCTAAACCTCAATATTAAGATGTACCAGCATGGTTTAGGGCTTAAGGTGTCGAAGCTACTTGCTGTTAACACTATGGTGTATTCCGAAAATTCGGCACTCTTCAGTGCCTGGATGCTAGGAATAGATGCTTGAGGTTGTGGGGTAGCCTGAACCCTAAACCTGACATGCGATAGGCTTTAGTTTTGGGGGTTTCCGAAACTAAGGGACCCCCTAGTATAGTTCCCCAAATAGTAGGATTCCCGTACAGTAAGGACGGCCCCAACAAGGTACCCCTAATTTCGGAAACCTCCACTGTGCTCCTTCAGTGTTGGTTTCCCGCTTAAGGTGTCGCGCTTAGTTCGGGGGTAAGGATGACTTTAGTAATAGACAGGGTTTCAGGGTTCAGGTTCAGTTATGCCTTAGGGTTTAGGGTTTTGGGTTGAGGGTTTAGGGTTTATGGTTTAGGGTTTAGGGTCTAGGGTTTAGGGTTTAGGGTTTAGGGGTTAGGGGTTAGGGCATTGAGGCCGTAGGCTCCAGGTTTAGCGGGCCTCCGACAGGCCCAGGCGGCTCCCCGGTTGGTGCCACGCCCGCCTGCGGTGCATCGGCGGCTGGAAGGCCACTGGGTGCCCGAAGAGCCTTGCCCGAACCCCATGGGGGTTTCCGAATTTGGGGTTTGGGGTTTGTAGGGTTTAGGGTTTAGAGTTTAGGGTTTGGGGTTTAGGGTTTAGGGATCAGGGGATCCTACTATTTGGGGATCTATATTGGGGGTCCCCTGCTTTGGTGATCTCCCCTGTCACAGGAGCCGGGTTTCTTCCCAACATCATCCCCTTTTCATCCTTGTTATGTTCATGTGGCTACGAAGCCCAAAATGGCCATGCTACCAGGTAGGCCCTCAATGACAGGATCCAGGGTGTGCTAAGCAGCTGCTGTAGACTACTAGTCGATCGAGAACCCCGCAAAAATAGAAGGAATAATCCCTGTATTGCTATCCTTGTAAGGAAGAATCTTTTCCATTTTCTTGGGGTTCTTAAGCCAATAGTAGTAGAGGCCTTGCAAAAGCCAGCATACAAAGTGAGCAGGCGACTGGTCCGAGGCGGCGGACGAGACTCCTTCGACGTCAAAGGCCGAGGGTTTGGGGTTTGCCGAGGTTTGGGAATTCACGTTACAGATTCGACCTTTCAGCCCACCAAGCCTCTCTTCAGCCCTAACTGTTCGGAGGGATTCGAAGCGTGTAGCCGGGCCAGCGCTAGGCCATTCCGATGCTACGAGGTTTCTAAGAAACGGGAGATGCAACCACCATACTACGATTAGAACGACGCACGGCTACGCGCCATGCCCGATCGGAGGTTAAGCGCTCACGCTGAATGCTGAATGGCTCGAAGGCGGACGAAGCAACAGCAGACGTCGCGGCAGAACCGGTAAAGCACTCAAGTGGCCTCGCCACTACTTCACAACTGTGGTCGGCTGCCCTCATCGGAGAACGCCCGAAGACTCACATCTTGTAGCTACTGAAGGCAGTTCAGAGCCCTATATAGAGCAAGTAGCAAGGGGATGCTCATGACGACGAGCAGGAGAACACAGAACCCGACCATGCATTGTAAACCGCGACGAGATTCCGCTCGGTGGGGGACCCTGCCATTGGGAGGAACTCCATGCACTGTCGCCAACCAAACCTGGGAAGCAACGATGCCCCGGCTGAGCTTGTTTGCGCCACGCTCTCCATGGAACAATGTTTAGAAACGTCCGAAGCTGTTATGCGAGGCGAACAAAATGTCCAGCCCTGTTGAAACGCCTAATCAGCACAGTTCATCCCGTCCGCTCTATAGAGGAACACAACCTTCTTCCACTTCGACCCGCCTTGTTGTGTCTACACTTTGCCTTGTAGCGTGGGAGTCTGGACTAACTTCAGATTCTTGTTTTGGACCAAGGCTGGATGGTTGAAGCATTTGAAGCTTAAGCATCAACTTCCAGTGTGTTTACGGTTTCTACCTTCGTGGCTGAGTCTTGCCTCCGCAACCTGATCCACACATGCCGGCCTCAGCCTTCAACAGATATCCCCACATTTCCCAAAGTTTAATCCCTAAGCCAATGCCGGTAGCCTCAAAGTTTTGGAGGGAACTCCGTGAGCTGGGTAAGCGTACGCAGTTTGAGATCTCAGGGGCTTTCAGCGCGGGCCCCCGCAACAATCTGTGCCTGGTGAACTGGAACCTTTGGATTTGGGGACCCTGAACCCTAAACATCCCTAAACCCTAAACCCTAAACCCTAAACCCTAAACCCTAAACCCTAAACCCTAAGGTTCAGGGCGTCGGGTAAAAGGTCTAGGGTGGGTTTTGGGCCCTTGCCCAGGAGGCACCGAAGCCACGCGTCCGGCCCAAGGTGCGGCCGCAGCCCAGACGACCCCCGGCAGAGCGCAGGGTCCTAAACCCTAAACCCTAAACCCTGATTCCTAAACCCTAAACCCTGAACCCTAAACCCTCAACCCTCAACCCTGAACCCTGAACCCTGAACCCTAAGCCCTGAACCCTGAACCCTGAACCCTGAACCCTAAACCCTGAACCCTGAACCCTGAACCCTGAACCCTGAACCCTGAACCCTGAACCCTGAACCCTGAACCCTGAACCCTGAACCCTGAACCCTAAACCCTGAACCCTGAACCCTGAACCTCGAACCCTGGCTCCTGAACCCGAGAGTCCGAAGCCCCAACACTTTTTGGTTACGACGCAAGTCTGAGTAAGTTCAGGACTTTAAATGCCTTGTTTACGAATCATGAAGAAATGAGTTAACATTAAGAACAGCAGCAACTAATGGTAATACAATGTATGAGCACTATAGAAACGAGTTCATGTACTTTGTCCAACACTAGCACCACCACGTAATAATTCAACAATTGGTGGTCCAATTACAGGAACAGCTTCAGGTACCCCAGTTGCAACTTTACAGCACCAAACCCTGAACCCGAAACGGCTCTTGGAGTGCTCCTGGTGATCATCTTTGAGTGCTTTTGGAGTGTTTCGGGCGCGCTTTGGGTGTAATTAGTTAGGGGCAGCAATTGATAGGTAAAGTCACAATGGTGGGTTTCCGTAGCAATCGTTATCGGTCAGGATCGAGTTGTGGCAGGGTCGCAATGATCACGTAAGACACATGTGTTGCGTCCTTGATGGTTTGTGCTGTTTCTTCAACAATACCTCTGCAGGCGAGATAGTAGATGCTTGCGCATCATGAACAAGAGCTCACATTCTTGGGCCTCGATCTACAGCCCCGAACTCCAACATGCCCCAACCTGCGCCCTCCAGCCCGAGCCCCCAAAGCCTAATATAGGGGTCAGAATAATTACTAGTACTATTCCCTTCGGGTCCCTTTGTAATTATATTACTACAATAACCCCCCCCCCCCCAAAAAAAAAAAAAAAACAAAAAAAAACTAATTCTAATTATTCAGGCCCCTAAAATACACCCTGATACCTGAACTTTTGCCCACAGATGCCTTTTCACCCAAGTTCGAGCTTGGCACTTCGGAGGGAACCTCCTCATTTTCTTGGTGGTTAGGCTCCCTTACCCTGTTAACAAAAAATAGTGCCCTTGTCCTTCCTAGGTGACTGGGAAACCTGGCACTTCGGTGCTAATATGTACACGTCCAGGTGTTGTGGCTGCGGGGCATGTGACATGGTGGGTGCACGCCGCCCAGGAAACGCATCGCCAAAGCGCAAGCCCATTGCAAAGGACGCGGCTTGAATTTGCTTTTGCCATCACGTTGGCAAGGGCATTCGAAGTATTTGTGCCAGTTCCTGGGTTCGGCGCGTCTGTGGATGCCGAAGGCAAGCTAAGTCAATCTCGGAGTTGAAGGAACTTGGGACAGAAAAGGTTCTTCTATAAGGCCTACTTCCCTAATTCCCTGTCAGAGCATAACTTGCCCCTAACCCAGAAGTTGTTAGGGCGGAGCCTCTGCGGCGCAGGAGCAGAAATCCGCAGCCGCCGTGTCCAGGGCAGAGCTGAACATGGCCGACAATCTCGTGACTTGGTAGCTCAATGGTACCCTTCTCCCCTTTCTGGGGTTTAGGGTTTAGGGTTTAGGGATTATGACATGGTTACTGGGCTACCAAGGTGACGTGCCTCACCGGGGCGCTACGCTCAGGGGAGGGCAGGGGGGTAGGGGAGTAATGGGAGGTTCTTGGGTACTTATAAGTGGGGTTGTAGGTGCCATGAATAAGATTATAACCAAGTATACCCTGAATGGCCCTACTCATAACCCTCCTCAGAAGTACACTCTTTCCAGCAAGAGTCGTCACAGGGAACTTCAGCGCAGCGACACGCAATGGAGCACAGCTCTGGTGGCCGTCGTTAGCGATATTTACGCACCCAAAACTTGCCAGGATCATTCCGACCGGGAAACTGGGAAGCCAACCAATTACTTGACAGAGAGGTCATCAGCTTGAGTGCGCAACAGGAATGCTAGGCACACTTGTCCCCTCAACCCAATAGGGTCTAATTAGTGAATTAGTGTTATTAGGGTTTATAAACCCTAAACCCTAAACCCCATTTTATGTATTTCCCCAGTCTTGGGTTGAGGGCTTTACAGGGCCAATCTAGACTGGGCTCCTGGCGTTGACGTGCTTGTTGTCGGATGACTTGAGGCTGGTTCTGCACCGGCCGTTGAGCCCCCAAACCCCAAACCCCAAACCCCAAACCCCAAACCCTAAGCCCTAAACCCTAAACCCTAAACCCTATACCCTAAACCCTAAACCCTAAACCCTAAACCCTAAACCCTAAACCCTAAACCCTAAACCCTAAACCCTAAGCCAGCGAGGATGCGGCGATGGGCGGCAAAACCCTGCGGCCCAGGAATCGCCCCAGTGCTGAGCTCGGACGCGGGGGAGAAGCGTTCATGGCTCACGATGTTAAGGGTTTAGGGTTAAGGGTTTAGGGTTTAGGGTTTAGGGTTTAGGGTTTAGGGTTTAGGGTTACAGTTTAGGGTTTAGGGTTAGGGGTTTAAGATTTCTTGGGCTTAAGTATGGCCTCATCGAGCTACTTACACATGCAACCTCCTCCACAATGTATGAACCTAGATGCAAGCCCCTAAGCCCCCCAAAATCCTTCCCTTCTGGTCCCTTTTATGATTTTAGATTTTATACTGTAGTAACCTCCCAAAACCCTGTTCTAATTATTCAGGCCCCTAAACCCTAAACCCTAACCTAAACCCTCAACCCTCAACCCTCAACCCTCAACCCTAAACCCTAAACCCAAATTAAGGCCCCTATATCAACCCCCTTGCTCCGTAGGGTTTAGGGTTTGGGGTTTAGGGGGGTTGCAAGATCTGGGCAAAGGGCCTTAGCAGGCTCCTGATGCTCTCGACATGATATTGAACTTGCACTCACGGAGAGGGCTCTTCCGTTTCTCAGCACGGGACCCTGAAATCAAGGATCAAGACCAAAGGTCAAGCCCTTCAACCCTTACAAGACTCAGGTGGGGTTTGACGATATTAGGGGGTGCCTTATTGGGTCCTTATTTTTGTACGGGGATCCTACTATTTGAGGTTCTATATTCGGAGCCCCTATTTTCGAAAACCCCCCATGTTAATTGCTTGACCCTCACCAGACGCCCAACATCCTAAATCCTAAGCCCCTAAACCCAGAAACCCTAAAGCCCCTAAACCCTACTGTTGACCCTATAGGAACCCTAGCCCAAGACCCTTAAACCCCTTAAAACCCTTAAGCCCTAAACCCTAAACCCTAAACCCTAAACCCCCAAGACGCCCGGACATGCAGAGGTGCTTCGCCACCCCGCCGAGTCACCGTACCATTGGTTGGGGCTCCTGGAGGGACTTCGGACCTGGGGATGTTTAGGGTTTAGGGTTTAGGGTTTAGGGTTTAGGGTTTGGGGTTATCCAGAGGTTAGTTAGGCTAAATCAGGGTGTTTGGGGTATTTCGGGCCCTTATGGGTATTTCTGGTTTGGGTTTTGCTAGGGCTAGCGTTCGCTACTGCAGGCACATGTAGGGCTTCGGGGTTATCAGGGTCTTGGGGCGCCCTAACCCAGAAGTCTAAAAGCCTACATGACCCTTCAGCACAAGACTCAAAATTTCTGGGAACCTGTTAAGGCGAAGTTGGCAGGTCGAAGAGGGTGGGGGCCTCGGCCATGTAAGTGAGGCGACTGGTTGGGGAGTTGAACTAGGCCCTATACAAGCCCCTAACAAGCCCTGAACCCAAAAGTCCCTAAACCCTAAACCCTAAACCCTAAACCCTAAACCCTAAACCCTAAACCCTAAACCCCGGAAGGTGTTGGCGAGCCAGCCCTCCAAGTGTCAGCTGGCCGGCGGCGAGGGCTACGCGGCCGGCCGGCGCTCGGCGCATCGGCCGCCGAGGAAGGACGGCCCCAGGGGTTTAGGGGTTTAGGGTTTGGTTTAGGGTTTACTGGGGGTCCAACTTCCGTATTATCTCTTGGAGATTTTGGACGATTCCGTAGAAAGAGATCTCAGTGCGGAGTATTACAGACAACAGAAAAAGAAGACGTCTACTACACCAACCCAGATGTACCCCGGCAAAATCATGCCACCGCTTGTGAAGAACGAGCCTGGCATAAAGCCAGACCCAGTCGGCCAAGCTGCCTTTTGGCAAAGTGATGCCACAGCCTGTGAAGAAGGAGGCTTGCGTGCTGCCAGATGCAGCTTCTTTGCCTTCAGGCTTGGCCCAGCCGGTTGGGAATCCCGACAAGCCTCTTGTTTCGTTCCCTACGGAACAGGAGGTCAAATCAGAAAGCTCTCTGGAGGTGGTAGCCGTCGCCAAGACGAAGAAGAGGGCGAAGAGAAGATGCAGACGAAAGGGCTCAGAGAAGCAGTTCGAACTGCCCCGTTTCCCAGGAAAGAACAACTTGCCTGGGCCCACATCGCGATGCCCCACGTGCAAGAGACCGGTGGAACTGTTTTTCTCGCGCAGAACTTCGAAGTGGCTCATCTGCTTTGGTGCACTCGCAGAATCGACGGAAAGTACTGCACCTTCCACAAGTACTGGCCTGACAACAACCACTTGCTCTGGCACTACTTAGATTTCAGCGACTCCTAGCAGCTCAGCAGTAGTTTTATTCTTGCCTAAAGTCTATTTTAGGGTTTAGGGTTTAGGATTTAGGGTTTAGGGTTTAATTCTTTATCGGGCTGACTTGAGCAGGTTTAGGTCTAACGGTAGGGTTTAGGGTTCAGGCTCTAACCCTGAGAGGGATAGCTCGCTCTTCTGGAAACCCTGCGTAGCCCTCACTTTATTACTATCATTACAATTATCATCATTGCTATTAGTATTGTTACTACCAACATTATCATTCTTATCATTATCATTAATTTCATTATTTCTATGGTGTATTTATTTATTTGTTTATTTATTATTTAATAAGTTTATTATTTATTATTTGTTTTTTATTACTTAGTAATTTTTATTTTTTTTTATTTATTATTTCTTATTTATTGTTTATTGCTTATTATTTATGATTTATTATTTATTATTTAGTAGTTATTATTTATTAGTTATTGTTTATTATTTATTATTTATTATTAACTTTTTAATTATTATTTATTTATTATTTATTACATTATTGATTATGTACTGATCATGATGATGATGATGATTTATTGATATAAATTTTCCGCTGTAGCTCGCACTTTTGCTAAGGTAGACATGGCGCATGTGTGTGTGTGTGCGTGTGGGGAGGCCACCTCGAGAGGCACGCAAAGACCATCGTGCAATCGAGGCGCGGGGATTGAGCGCATTGAGATCTTAGGGTTAGGGTTTGGGGCAGAGCGATTCTTGGGGGCCAAGGGTTTAGGGTTTTTTGGTGTTTAGGGTTTGCGGATGAGGTTTTGGGCTTTCGAGTTTCGCGCTGATAGTTTAGCATCGTAGGTTCAGAGCTTCAGGGTTTTGGGGATGTATGTGTTGTCTGTCACCGGACCCTTCACACCAGGCACGCACGAGGGTTTTGCATCCTCTTGGCCCCCATAAGCCCGGAATGCCTACAAACTTAGGAGGCTTCGCAGGTTGTTGTTTTCTTTGGCCTTTGGTCATCACAGGCCCCCTTTAGAATGCCCAGCAAGCAAGAGAAAGACCCCAGAGATAAACCCTAATTAAACCCTAAACCCTAAATGCCACACCCTAAACCTTTAACCCAAAACCCTATAAACCCCAGATACCCTTTAAACTTTAAACCCCATAAAGCCCTAAGCCCCAAATTTGTGACCCCAAAGGCCTGGTGCCGGGTCATGGCGACGAGGAAGAGAGGTGCTAGGGGTGCTGTGGGGCTGAGGGCGTTGAGGGTAGTTACATGGTTCCTTAGTGTGGGCCCTTAAAAGGGTACCCCTTATACACCCTATACAAATCAAGGGCCCATACGTCAGAATACTTTACAGGAGGTTAAGGACCATACTAACTGCCCTTTAATGGGGTGTTGAGAGTTAGGGTACAAGGCTTAAGGCTAGTGCTTCCGGAGCTTAGGGGTTTAGGGTTGACGGGTTACGGCTTATTCCCTAAACCCTACACCCTAAACCCTAACTGTGACTCAGCTGCCGAGCACCTTTATGAGGGTCAGAGGGTTGGTCAACGGAGCGAGCATCGGTGCCGCTTCAGACACGCCCAATGACACCAGGTCATGTACACACATTTATGGCTTGTTCATATGTATATATATATATATACATGTATACTATAATATTTATAAATGCACACATGCCTACACATGTTGGAATGTACCGTTGCGCCGTGTGTTTTTCAAGCCAGCTTAACTTGAGGATTTGGGGTTCCGGGGTTTTTGGCCCTTGGGCTTCCAGGGCTTGCGGGCGTGGGGCTTGGAATTTACAGTCAAGGGATGAAGACTCCTGCCCCTAAGGTTGTACCCCCTAAGGTTCCCCTTAATATACTCCCAACATGGCCCTTATATTCCCTGAAACTTAGGGATCCTGAAGATGAGGGCCCCCAAAACCCAAGGGTCGAAGCTTAAGGGTCCCAAGCTAGAGAATCCCTATAGATCCCTAAACCCTAAACCCTAAACCCTATACCCAAAAGGCTCCTTGCGGAGATCGCCTCACTCAGCTCGCAGCTGGAAGAGCTGCAGCAGCGGGCTGCGCAGTCGCCGGGGGCCAAAAAGGCCGCCACCCCGGGGCGCAGGGTTTAGGGTTTAGGGTTTAGGGTTTAGGGTTTAGGGTTTAGGGTGCAGGAGTTGAGGATCATGGACGAGCGTTGCTGCCGCCGCAATTGCTACGCTTCTTCCTGGTGAGTTTGACTATGATTATGACTATGATTGTGATTATGATGATTTTAATACGATTATTAAGTTTCTTACTATTATGCTTATGATGATTACTGTTACGATTACTGTTACTACTGCTGTGCTACTTCTAGTTCGACGACTACGACCACCACTGCTACTAATGTGAAGACCATGGGCTCGAGTCTGGTCAAGGGCCGGCGTGACAAATACGAAGGCTTGTGACTTGGAAGCCTCGTAGACCTTGACCAGAAAGACAAGAGGGTTTAGGGTTGAGGGTTTAGGTTTCTTAGGGTTTTAGGCTTTTAGGTGTTAGATTCCATGAGAGTTTGACAGCTCTGGCATCGACTCGTCCATCCGCCTCGGCTCAGCCTGGATGTAGGTGTGGACACGCCACTTAGGATTTCTGTGGTCTCGGGCTGAGGTTTCTAAACCAATATAACCAATCATGCAAGTGCACGTAAAGAGTTTCCATCTATACAGCGTATGCATTTAGGGGCCAAGGTTTCTTTGATCACTGACCGTGACCTCTCTGACGTATTCTCTAATTCTCTACAAGCAGCAACGACTACTCTCCCGAAGCCCTTACAAAGCCCTTAGAAAAACCTTAAAGCTCTAGACTTGAACACGCTTCATGCAGGGCTCTGCCTCTCCTGGGTGTCAGTCTGCATGCCCTTGGGACTTTTTCTCTTTTCCCTTATTGGGTTTAGGAGGATCATATCTAGGAATCTTTTTCAGAGTGTCTTCACAAGATCCTCTGGGCCATCCTGGCTACGAGGCCAGTTTCCCCTGGTAGCCGATAACAGCCACAAGCCCGTGACGGGCGGCGCGCCTGGTGTCCGCACGCCGTTGCCGCCCCTCGCCATGGAGGCCGAAGCCGGGCTTTGGGGTTTAGGGTTTAGGGTTGAGGGTTGAGGGTTGATTAGGGTTTAGGGTTTAGGGTTTGGGGTTCAGGGGTTTGGGGTTTAGGGTTTAGGGTTTAGGGTTGTAGGGTTTAGGGTTTAGGGTTTAGGGTTTGGGGTTTAGGGTTTGGGGTTGCGGGGTCTATGTGGGGTTGAGGTTCCCGGGCTCAGGTTGTAACCCTCTCAGTCTCATGTAAGGCTGTTGAAGCACACATTAAACCCCTGAGCCCTTAAATCCCAACCCCAAAGCCCCAAAACCCCACAACCCAAACCCAAAATCCCAAACCCCAAACCCCAAGCCCTAGACCCTAAACCGTGCGCGGCCCCTATGTCGGCCTTGTGCTATGACCGCGTTGATGCTGAGAGTGGCAAGCCTGAGCCCTGAAGTTCCCAAGAGGCAGGGCCTAGGGCTTATAGGGTTTGGGTTTAGTTTAGGGTTTAGGGTTTCGGGTTTAGGGTTTAGGGTTTAGAGTTTAGGGTTTCGGGCCCAAGGTAGACTCACAACTTTCAGCCCTCAAGGAAGCTACCCTACAACCCTTTGACCCTGCCCTCAAGCAGCAGCCAAGTCAAACTTAAGGCCCCCTAACCCTAAGCGTAAACCCTCGAACCCTAAACCCTGAGCCCTAAACCCTAAGCCCTAAACCCTAAACCCTTAACCCTTAACCCTTATAAGCCCTAAAGCTCGAACGAGCTGACGTTGTTGGCGCAGGCGGGGCCTCCCTGTAGCTCACTACCGGCACCCCCTACAGAGGCTTGGGCAGCCGGGGTTTAGGGCTTTAGGGTTTCATTTAGGCTTTAGGGTTTAGGGTTTAGGATTTAGGGTTTAGGGTTTAGGATTTTGTTTTAGGGTTGCAAGGCGATCTTGGGAGGTTAGGGGGCCGAGGATACGCTCGTCGGCAGTCTTCCTTGAAAAGTCGCGGAGAGATTAGAAGATTCGAGGTTTGGTTTCTTTGGTTTGTTGAGTTTAGGGCTTCTGAGGGCTGAGGGGTCTGTGAGCTTAGGGTGAGGCTAGGGTTCAGGGGATTCCAGCAGAACGAGGTGTTCAGGCTCCACATGTTTGGGGTTGTGGGTTTCCAAACCTGAGAGGTGCTTTACTCTTACCCCTTTTTCGATAGGGCCAGCTGAGAAACTCCAGCCAAAAAAAGAACCAACGCTTGTTCTTCTTAGCTTGCAGGTGTGTACGGGGCACACAGTCTTTGAGTGCCCCAGTGGGTGACTTGCGAGCCTCTGTGCTACAGAAACCCTGAGCGCGAGACCGCCTAGAAACTAATATAGGGGTCGGAAAAATTACTAATAGTAGTCCCTTCTGGTCCCTTCATAAGTATACAGTACTATAATAACCACCCTATTCAAATTAATAGGGCCCTATAATTAGATCCTAAACCTCCCTGACGAAGGCGCTGACGCCGCGAACGCCCGTCAGGCCTTGACGGCTTTGGGGGGTGCGAAACGAGAGAAGGAGTAGGTTTTCTTGGGACTAAGACTCCTAAACCCTAAACCCTAAACCCTCAACCCTCAACCCTCAACCCTCAACCCTCAACCCTCAACCCTCAACCCTCAACCCTCAACCCTCAACCCTCAAACCTCAACCCTCAACCCTCAACCCTCAACCCTCAACCCTCAACCCTCAACCCTCAACCCTCAACCCTCAACCCTAAACCCTAAACCCTAAACCCTAAACCCTAAACCCTAAACCCTAAACCCTAAACCCTAAACCCTAAACCCTAAACCCTAAACCCTAAACCCAACCAAAGTACTCCATTCCAAAGAATGCTGGAGCTTCAGAGTCTGTTCTCTAAATCCTCTTGAGCCCGTTTAGAGATGCCCTGCCAGAGCACTGATGCTGATGCTTTGGTCTGGGTTGTAAGGCATCAGTTAACCCTAAGCCCTAAACCCTCACCCTATCACCCTCATTT